GAAGAGGGTGATCTGAGGGTGAGGAACTTAAGTCTGATGCCCTTGCCTTGGTCAGATCACTTCCTCATAAGGTTTGAGCTCAAGAGTGGCCTTTCCCTCTGTAAGGGTGTGGACCAGATTGTATTGGTCCGCCCCCGGAGCCGGATGGATCCTGATGGATTCCTGGAAGCTCTAGGGGATTTTCCGGTTGACAAGGCTGGTGATCCTGTCGATGCCCTGGTTGAACTGTGGAATGAGGAGATGACCAGGGCTATTGACATGATCGCTCCCAAGCATCCTCTCCCACCTGGCAGAGCCCGTTCATCTCCTTGGTATACACCTGAATTGCAGGCGATGAAGCAGGTTGGGAGACGGCTAGAGCGTAGGTGGAGGAGATCACGGGGTGATTCTGACCGAACACACTTAAGAGCCCATTATCTGGCCTATGCTGTGGCATTGAGGATGGCGAAGAAGAAATTCTTCTCTGTTTCCATTGCCTCCTCACAATGCCATCCGGCGGAGCTTTTTCGGGTGGTGCAGGGGCTGATACATCAGGGCCCGAAGAAAGATCTTGTGCCACCCTCGAAGGCCCACTGTGACAACTTTGCCAAGCATTTCAGGGAGAAAATCACTCAGATTCACCACGAGCTTGACTCTGCTATTGAATCAGATTCTGCTGGGGAGACTCCATTGACGCTGTCGAGTCCACAATTAATGGATGAATTTCAGTTGTTGCAGCCTGATGATGTGGACAAGGTGCTTGGACAAGTACGTCCTACCACTTGCTTACTAGACCCATGCCCATCTTGGCTACTTAAGAAAGCCAAGGACGGGATTGGGACCTGGATCCTGGAGGTGGGCAACGCCTCTTTAAGAGATGGCCGGGTACCTGCCCCTTTAAAGGAGGCGGTAGTCCGACCGGTCCTAAAGAAGGCATCCCTTGATCCAGAGGTGGCCGCCAATTATAGACCGGTGGCCAACATCCCGTTCCTGGGCAAGGTGCTAGAGTGGGTGGTAGCGGGACAACTCCAAGCACTCTTGGATGAAACTGATTATCTGGACCCATTTCAGTCCGGCTTCAGACCCGGGTACGGCACTGAATCTGCCTTGGTCTCCCTGCACAGGTCATCGTACAGGG